CCCCAAAACCCCAAAACCCCAAAACCCCAAAACCCCTGAAGGTTTTGATAAATTGAGTACGCCTCTGATCTCCAAATATAAGCAAGATTTATTTAGAACAAATAATATAATAAAAGATGAAGTTCGGAATAAAATTAATCCTTTCATTATGATTTATCTCCCTCAGCTTTGCTGAAAGAGATATGAATGACGGTCATTGGGTAAACACCGAAGCCATTGTTAACGCCTCTCCAAGAAGAGCTCCCAAGGAAACTGATATCCCTGAGAATTTTTCATGGCAGAACAAAGACGGAGTCAATTACTTGACTTTAGTTAAGAACCAACATATTCCTCAGTACTGAGGATCATGCTGGTCATTTGCTACAACATCTGTGTTGTCTGATAGAATTAAGATTCAGAGAGGTGCTATTGGCCCAGACATCAATTTAGCACCTCAAGTTCTCCTTTCTTGTGACAAAGTTAACAGAGGTTGCTATGGAGGATGGCCGTTGCTAGCTTATAAGTTCATTCAAGAGAATGGCATCACTGACGAGACTTGCTCTCCATATCTAGCTAAAAGCTACAGAAACGGAGCTGATTGTGAAGCTGAACACATTTGTAAGAACTGTAATAAATTCGGCGAATGCTGGCCTATGGAAGAGTATCCTAAATATTATGTCGACGACTATGGCTTTGTTTCTGGTGAAGAAGATATGCTTGAAGAAGTCTATAACTGGGGGCCTATTTCATGCACAGTTGCACTGACTGAAGAGCTTCACAACTACACTGGAGGAATCTTTGAAGATAAGACTGGTCGCAAAAACAGAGATCATGAGGTCGAGATCGTAGGATTCGGAGAAGAAAGAGGAGTCAAATACTGGGAAATCAGAAATTCATGGGGTTCTAACTGGGGAGAAGAAGGATTCTTCAAGCTCATCAGAGGTGTCGACAACCTTGGAATTGAAACCAACTGTTCATGGGGTAACGCTATAAACACCTGGGATGAAGGCAAACAAGTCATCCATAGAATATCAGATGAGGATAGAACTAAGTTCCAGAAAGAAAAACTTTATCAACATATTAAATACCAATTCACTAGAAGAGACTTGGAAGAAGATGTGCATAACACTAGATGTAGAAATGATAATGATAACTATTCTGGAGAACAAAAGATTCTTACTCCAAGACCACATGAATACTTAAATTCAAAGGATCTCCCAGAGAATTGGGACTGGAGAAACATCAGTGGAATTAGTTACGCTTCGACTTGGGTGACGAACCAACATGTTCCTGAATACTGTGGCTCTTGTTTCCTTCAAGCAACTACAGCTAGTCTAGCTGATAGATTTAACATTCATAGGAAGAGGACTGATATCAATTTTGCCTTTAGTGTTCAATCTCTGATGAATTGCAGATTCGGAGGTTTATGTAAAACAGGAGGACATCCGATCGAAGTCTATGAATACGCTCACACCGATGGTCTTTTACATAATTCATGTATGAACTATGAGTCTCAAGATATTAATGAAGAAGATAGATGCGATCCCATAAATGTCTGAAGAGACTGTAAAGGACCTTCCTTTGCTGAAGGAGAAGAAGACCCTCTTCAAAACTGTTGGGCTGTTGAGAATCCAACTAAGTTTTATGCCTCAGAGTTTGGTCAACTCAGTGGTGTTGAAGAGATGAAGGCTGAAATTTATAAAAGAGGGCCTATCTCATGCGGAATCAAAACAACTCCTAGCCTGTATGATTATAAAGGAGGAATTTATTCCGAAGTTAGAGAGATTACCGATCTCACTCACGAAATCTCTGTTGTAGGATGGGGAAAGGCTGAGAACGGAGAAGAGTACTGGATTGGAAGGAATTCCTGGGGAACCTATTGGGGAGAAAACGGCTTCTTCAAGATTAGTATGTATGAGAATAATCTTGGAATTAACAGAGATTGTACCTTCGGAGTTCCAGATATGAAGAGATCCGGGCTTGATGAGATAAGTCTTGAGCAACAATAATTCTAACTTAATAGATCAATAAAAATACAATTTCGCATTATCTAATCTGATATCCAATTTATTCAAATCATCACAATCATTCAATCCACTTTAATAGTAATGGGGTTTTGGGGTTTTGGGGTTTTGGGGTTTTGGGGTTTTGGGG